CTCCTATCTCTTTTTAACACTCTAATCTGTCCTTTAAGTTGTTACCAAAGTAGTAGTAGTTTTAAAAGTGTCTATTTTATTTATTTTATTGAGGTAAAATTGGTTAATAACATTATATAAATTTCAGGTGTACAACATTGTAATTTGATATCTATTTGTGTGCTCACCACCAAAAGTCTAGTTTGCTTCTGTTACCATATATTTGACCTTCTTTACCCATTTTGCTCCCGTTTCCCTTTGGGAACCACCATTCTGTTGTTTGTATCTGCGAGTTTGTTTTGTTTTGTTAGTTTATTTGTTACTTTTTTGTTTTATATTCCCCATATAATTGAAATCATGCAGCTTTGGTCCTTTTCCATCTGACTTATTAAACTTAGCATAATACTCAAGATACATTCATATCGTTGCAAATGGCAATATTTCATCTTTTTTATGGCTGAGTAGTATATGCCATTGTGTGTGTGTATGTGTATGTATGTACATATACATACATTTGGTGACCAATATGATATACATACATACACCCCACATCTTTTTTATCCATTCATCCGTCTGTGGACACTTAGATAGCTTTCATATCTTGGCTCTTGTAAATAATGCTGCAGTGACTATAGGGGTACATATATCTTTTTGAATTAGTGTTTTTATATTCTTTGGATAAATACTCATAAAAAAGTATATCTTTTAAAAACACAATTCTGAACTTGTTACTTTTCTGTGTGAAACGAGTAGGTGGCTTTTTATATTTTGACGTGAACCCCATTTCTTTAACACAGCATATGAGGCTTTTTGTTATCTGGCTGCTTACCCCTGCCCCACTGACTCTTTTCTCTTTCCCCCGCCTCCCCCACCACTAGTGTTAGTCGTGTTGAACTGGCTTGCCAGGCTGCTCCACTCCTCTGCACGTTTGCATTTGTCATACATGTGCTTATCTTACTTGATCTTTCAGCGGTTGCACACTTCCTCTATTTTGCAACAACATCTAACCTTTGATTTCCATGGCTTTCCTTCTGGAATTTTCTCTTATCTTTCCGGTATTTCCTTCCTACTTTTTTTGCAGGCCACTCACCTTCTGCTCAGCCTTTGCCTGCCAGGCTTTGTTGGGGCTCAGTCTGAGTTCTGTTTTCCCTCTTAAGCCTATTAAAATTGGCTCTGCTCTATGTACCAGTGGTTTACTATAAGAATTTTTATATTTAGCAAAAGTATATAAAAGTCATTTACAGTATATTTAATGTATATTTTTCCATCGCTGTTTGGTTACTACAGAATAAAGATATCTGGTTTCAATAGGTCAATGAGAACTACCATAATATGTTAAAAGCACTAGTTTTTAGACAGTGGAAGCTAGCCCCTCCACCATGTGCTTCTTCAATTTGAGTGAGTGCTCTTCTCCATTTTTCTCTCTGGTCTTTCATTCTGCTGTTATGTAAAACGATTAGCTTTTAGTGACCCCCCACAAAAGGTTGATCCTTTCAGTTCATCAAGTACCATCAGTTGTGTCAACACACCTTACTAAATTAAATAGAATGACTAGGTAGAAGTTAGGGCAATTTAGAAGAAAACTATTTTTCATCTAGAAGAAAGCATTTTTTTTCTGGGAAATAAATTGGAATTGGTAGATGAAACTCTCTATAGTGTTTATTGTAGTCCTGGCCCCCTGGCAGGAAATTATTCTGAATAAAGTAAAAAATATTTTTAAAGGAAAGAATTATTGAGTAATCAAGATGTAAACTTTTCAGTGATGAAAGATGTGCTGAGCGCTTATTAGAATTGCATCATTTGAATAACTCACTCTTCCTGTTATTTCCTGACATTCCATTATGATACTCGAGAGATTCCATCTTTGATAGTTGCAAAGGGTTAATGCAGGAGTCTGATGGGGCTGCTACATCAGCACTGAAGAAGTGGTAGATGAAGAGGTAATAACGACATTGCCAGAACTGAATAGAAAGTATTAGCCTGGAGAAGAAAATTTAACCCTTAATATATTAAAATTTTAAAATGAGATTAAAATAATACCACAACAGGCATTTATGTAATTGAGCATAAGAAGATATTTTCATTTTCATTTTATTGTTTCCAATCTGTGTGTAGAACAGAAGAAATTGGGAACTGTCCCTTTAATAAAACCCTGTTTACCTATCTCTTCTAGTGGGCGTGGCTTAGGAACTTGTAGAGTGAGGTATTACTTCCAATTCTGCATTCTGACCTGCTACCTTGGAAAGAATGCTGATACTACAAACCAGGAAGTGACAAGTAATGTGCTTTCAACTACTATAGAACTTGTCTTTTTATAAGGAAAATCTTCTCATAACAAAACTAGAAGACCAAAGCAGTGATTTTACATAGTTGTCATCAAATATTTGCAACTCTGCTGTGGGATAAAGACTGCAGCATACTTAGAGTACAAAGCTTTCTGGGCCAGAAATTGATCTGACTTTTGAGCCTTATCCGATTACTGCTTGGTTTACCTTTATTTTGTTCACGTACTCTGCAGACTGAACTGGGGAGTCTTTCCATTGTTTGCAGGTAGGTGGTCAGCCTTTGTTTAGAATTTAGGTCGTTTTTTAAGGTTACTTCACCCTGCTGTTTATTGAAAGAACAATTTAGGTCGTTTTTTAAGGTTACTTCACCCTGTCGTTTATTGAAAGAACAATGAATATCAGTCTGGATACATGTTTAAATATTTGAATATTCAGCATGGCTGTAAATAACCACATTTTTGTGACTTCTGGTCAACTTTGAAGAAAATGTAATTTTTAACAAATTAGCTGGTGAATTAAATGAGTTCTATTTTGTTTTCCATTAATCTTTTATATATTCATTTTTTAAACTAATCAATTAAAATATATTGAAATTATCCTGCTGTTAACTTCTTGATTGTATTTGATAGTATATTTAAAACATTTATTTATGTAGTCAAATAAAATTGTATTTTTGTTAACATTTTACTTATAAGATTCATTTCTTTCACTCTTAGGAAGCTCAATATTTATCATTGGTCTGTTCTTGCTACAGTTCAATAGCTATTATTTCAGAAGAGTTTTTATAAAAATTTACTATTCCACAACTATATTGAAATTTTGCTTGTTTCTCTTCATAATGTTAGCCATCCATTTATGACACCAAAAGCATTTCAAAGATAATGTCTTTAGAAGATTGAGTTAATTATTAGTATAAGCTAACTGCTCTTGTGAAAAAAGTTCACAATGGCTCTTCTGGAGCGGAAGTCAAAAAAGAAATGTGTGGGATATCTTTAGGATCAAGGACAGTGGTTCTCTAACTTTCTCTACCACTAATTATCCTTTTAATTTTCTTATACAGACACTATACTTCAAAAGAGTTTTTGTCCACCAATTAAGTGGTGTATATGAAATACTAAAATGTTAGAACATTATTGTTTATTAGTCATACATTATTTCCAACTAGAGTTTCTTATCAGCCTGACATACCACTCTAGGTTAATATAATTCAGCCTCAGACAAGGAGGCCTGACATTTTACTTAGCATAAATAATTTTATTGTAGGTAACTATTTGGATATTTTTGACTTTAAGAAACTGATAATATTATCTAAATTTTCATCAACTACTCCTCTGGAATCCTAGTAGTCTGGACATGGCAAATTGGGAACTAGCAGTCTAAAGCGCAAAAAATTTGTTCTTAATCTCTTTGAGGTTCCATGAAATATAATGAAGGTCATTAAGTGTAATGTAACAAAGGTACCATAGCTACTAGACAGAAGAAGCAAGGAGAAAGAAAAAAGAAAGTATTGTTATGGGGAATGTCAAGGAGGAATTCAAGGCATCTGTATGTTTTGCCCCATTAAATCTCTATATATTTATTCCTACTATTTCCCAACTTGAATTTTTTACTCCAATTAGGCTGATAAACTATTAACTAACTTTAAAACGAATATTACTTACATTTTTCGTGTGTTTATTCTATATTTATATGTTGGTTTTCCTTTTTCCGAATTTTTTCTTTTCTACATATTCCCCATTGATGTCCTTTGAGTTCAGCCGAAGACCGTTCTCCAGTGTGAAGTCTTAGCTGATCACCCTAATCCACAGTGATGTTTCTTATTACTGTGTCAATTCCACCAGTTCTTTGATATGTAATAATATTATAGCTTGTCATATTTAATTTTACTTAAGAGTCTCCTTTGTTTCTTCAGCTATATTGTAAGTTGCCTGAGAGCATTTTATCCTCCTTAGCAGCTAGTTCAGTGATACGCATTAGGTAGGTTCTAAATAAATAACTGTTAAATGAATGAGAAGAAAGAACTCTTACCAACAGTTGTTTCACTCGTTTTTCTGCTGCCCTCTACGTTGCTTAATCATGTGATTAACCATCTATAATGTTTCTAGAAATCAGAATATTGGTTATCACACTATTATTTTTATTTTGCTATGTAATGTATGAGTTTTTTGTATTAAGTGATTTTAATACTAAGATAATACCTACAAAGAAAGAACAAGCTGGGCTTTATTAACAATAAAAGAAATATTCTAAATTTGAGCCTCTTATATTTTATATTTTAGGAAAATATAAAGTTTACCAATATATACGTTTTTTAAAATGGTTAAAATAGTAAGATATATTATAGATTAAGAAGATGAGTTCCGAATAGACGATTAAAACAGTGGTGATCCAGTGGTCGTGGTAGACTGGTTGGATTGCAGAATTTAAGTTGCAGATTAATGATTGCTAGAAACTATGGATAAATTATTTTATTTAAAAAAATTTTAAACCTCTTACCTCCCATTTACAGCAGGTATAGCACACTTTAAAATCATCATTTCATCTAATCCAAGTATCAACTCTGTCAGATAAGTTTTGTTAACCTATTTTTTTTTTTATAGATACAGAAAACACATCTAGAAAGGTCACACATCTGGTAGCTGTACAACAGGTCTTTGACTTCAAAATTCATGTGTGAATCATTGTTACACTATCTTACATTTTCCAATACTGAGTGTAGTTTTTCTGTCATTTTAGAGCTTGACTAGACAAGAATTCTGGCAGCTGCTGCAGCAGAACTATGGCACTGAACTAGGCTTAAATGCTGAAGAGATGGAAACCTTGTCTCTTTCGATTGAGGATAATATGCAGTCAAGGTACAGCAGAATGTTTTGAAATTTCAAAATTTATTAATCATTAATCAAAGCAGAATTATTTTAAACTATTAACTTACAATTTTTATTAATTGACCCTTGGGCGAATTTGCCTCTGTGTTCTCTGTAGTGGAATAGCATGAAAGGTGAGGATGGTGGATAGTTTATTAAATTGGTAAGCAAACTATGTCTTTGTAAGAAAATATGTCTTTGTAACATGTCACCTAGGATTTGCTTAAAGCGTGGCTTTAGTAAACCTTTTTATTAAGGATCTGGAGAAGTACCTGGCGAAATCTCTGTGTCTGTGAATAATAGTAAAGTAAATTAGCTGGAAGATATTTTGAGGGCTACAAAGATAATGTGACTATTCCTGAAGGATACCCTAACATGGTGCTTGGCATGGAGTTGGCATTGACTAAATATTGAACGCATTAATGGAAGGAGCTTGTAGTGTTATGGGCAGTGCAAATAATTACAATACAAGGTTGAAAATGATAAGGGCCAAAAGGGGCAATAGATAATATGATAAAGAAATTCAGAGTAGAGAGAAATTATTTTTGACTGATGAGAATTCATTTGGAAGAGTGGACATTTTTATTAACCTGTACAAGTAAAAGTGCATTTTGTCCAATGGTAATTGAGGTCATAGCAGTAGAAACAGAGGATACTACATTAAAAATCTGTAGCAAACATTATGCTAAGTGAAGGAAGCCAGTCACAAAAGGCCACACACTATGATTCCATCTGTGTGAAGTGGAGTCCAGAATCTGTAAATCCATAGAAGCGGAGAGGAGATTAGTAGTTGCTAAGGACTGGGAAGAAGGGTGAGTAGGGAGTGCAGCTAATGGTACAGGCTTTCTTTTTGGGGTGATTAAACATTCTAAAATTAGCGATGATGGCTATACAACTCTGTAAACCGCCATATTCTACATAGTCTCTAAATGTAGTAAATTTTATGGTATCTGAATTATAACTTAATAAAACATTAAAATTCTTTAGTAAGTAAATCTTAATGTAGAAATCTTTTGAAAGTCTTGCTATTATACAGTTTTACTCTGCCTATCTAGGTAGTCTTCTAGTTATGCCGAACCTATTTATAGTGTTTCCGTTAAGCATCAACATTTTAGTCTTTTTTACATTATTACATATGCATATTTAATTAGTTATCTTGTAAAGTTAAAAATTTCCATTGTAGTGCTCTCCTTGTAAAGTTTATTAGCTTCCCTTGGGTACAGGAGTTGAGTTAGAAATGCAATTGATACACTACAAAGAGGCTGGGATTGTGCTAAAGAAGATCTGGATTCTAGTCTGGACTTTGCCACCAAGCAGCTGAGCAGCCTCAAGCAAATCTCTTAGCTTTTCTGATCCTCAGTTTACTTATCTGTGAAATGAGGCGGTTAAAGTAGATGGCCTCTTGCCAACTCGAAAAGTTTCTAATCTTTGAAGAAGGAAAGAATAAATATTTTTGACCAGCTGCTTTATAAACTCTAAGGTCCGGCTTCTTGAGGTCACCAGCAAAGCTGCTATTTTCTTCCCTGTGATTGAGTGCTTTCCAGGAGAAGATATGACAGGATCCTCATTCCCACTTTTACTCCTTTTCCCATTTGTGCAGTCTCTGAAAGAAGCATATCTATCTCAAACCTTTATTATCTCAGCTCTTCCATCTTCTTTCTTTTCATTTTCAATCTCTCTTTTTACTCTCCTTCCTCCTTTTTTTCTTTTCTTTATTTCTCTACAGCTCAACTCCATCCTTAAAATCTTTAAGTTCAGACACTCAGGTGGTGAGTTAGTCTCAAGGAGCCATTTTTCTTGTTTGGTTCCCTCAGAGCCCTGCCATTCCAACTAGCCAGGAGTGACTTGGTTGCATATAAATAATATATGGGTGAAGTAGAATAGGGTTGAAAGGCCCTTTAGCATTTCTATTCCTTCCTCAGAATAATATGGCTTAAGATGTCAGGCTGCTACTTTATTTTAGAAGAGCTTTAAGTCTATATGTTTCAACGATTACATGGAAATAATAATTTCTCAATAAGGTTGAGCATTGGAAATGTGTTCCTTTTACATTTAGCAGACTTTCCTTTCTCTTTGCTCTTTGAGAAAGGAAAAGCAGGTCCCAGGATAATTATTATAATCTTGTCCCTATGACCATTTGAAAGCTTTTCCTTAAACCTCGTTCTTAAGAATGAACAAGAACGAGAAGAGGGGCACGGACCGATTGATGGGCTCTGTGCTCAGATATTAGGAGCTTCCATTTCTGGGGAGCATTTGCCATCTCAGATGGGACTAAATCAGAAAGAAGGGGATTCAAAAAAACTGACTTCTGATGCTGGCTGGCATCTAACTCGAACATTCACCCTGCACCTTTCGAAGTTTGTAGTTGTCCACAACTGAAATTTAAACAAGCAATATTAATTTTACTACTTGCTATAACAGCCACTTGTACTTGGTTAATTTTTTAATGGTTTCTGAAATTTATAAAATCTCATATGAGCATATCTTATTTTCAGAAATAAAGTCAATTTGCATATGATTTAAGAAAATAGCATACAATTTAAGCACATTATAAGTAGAGGCTTATTTGTTACATTATAAAAAAACATTTATTGTTAAAATGCTTTATAATAGAAAAAGACCTCAGTATGGAGACTAAATCACTTATTTATGTGGAAGTAACCTTGTTTGTGTTTCTATAATGATTTGTTTTTTACAGAAGTTCAGAAAGAAGCAGCTTGGATGACTGTGGGGAGAGAGATGAAAGATTATCTAAGTCAATCAGTTTTACCTGTGAATCAATTAATCGCGTTTCAGAAACAGAGTCAATCGATGGAAATCTAACAAAAGTGGTTAGTGTATGATAGCTCTTTTAAAATATATCTGATACTGCCATGTGTTCATCTTAATGTAAGATCAAATAGAAATACGATATATGAAATGATTAAAACTTAAGATGTTCAGGCTGCTCCTTTATTTTAGGAAAAGTGTTTCAACTCTAAGTAGCAGAGGTTATAAACACATGTGGTTCTTTTCAAGCTGGATACAGTATAGAGCTACCAGACAGAGCATCAGTCTATAAGAGAGATACACATCATTAAAAATATGATAGCGAAATTCATAGTTAGTAGAATTTTTCCCAGAGTAGGTAATTTATGTGGTAGAAAGAATCTGTTTTGAAGGGGAACATGAGAACCCTGAGCAGCATGCTTGAGTAACAATAGATGCTACTTAAGTTGCCTACTAAAGCAGTCACAGCCAGTTAATTACTGGGCTTCATTGTTTGTTTCTTTATTTTTTCAAGTATAATTATAAAAGCCCATCAATTTTTAGAAAAATTGCAATGAGTTTCTGTCACTTGGAGTCAAAATTTTTTATACTCCATTTGTCCCCTCTGCCAACAGGGGCCCTGTTAGATTGGCTCCTTTGTCCTTTTGAAGTGATTAATAATTTTTAATGGCTTCCTTTCTTGTACGATAATGTGTCCCAGTCACATTTTGTGCAACTTCTGTCCCGGACTTACTATTAGCCATTTTCCTAATGAGCCATAGTTCTTAGTGAAGAACGGTATTTAGAAACCACATTCTGAGCGCTAAGAGTGTGCCTGTTATAGAATTTTTGTTCTTATTGAGGATGCAGGTTTGGGACTAAAGTTGAATTTCTTGGTTTAGAGCAGAGCATTGGCATTACATCCTACCTTTCCTACTTGCCAGCTATATGACCTTAAGTAAGTTAACTTAATTACTTAATCTTTCTATGCTGTTGTTTTCTCATCTAGGGGATGCGGAGAATAATACCCCATAGAGGTTTTTAAAAGGATTGAATTAATATATTTGAAAGTGCTTTGAACAGTCCCTTGAACACACTAAGTATTCAGTAACCATAAGGTGTTATAATTGAAGGTGAATCTGTGTGTGGCCACAACGAAGTTTTTCTACCTTCTCCCATGGAACTCCAAGCATCTCCTATGAATAAATGTTGGGAAAACATTGAAACACCGTGTTTCTGTGAAAGGCCACCAAGTTATCAACTCTCTTGCATCTATCTCAGTCTGATTTTGTATTGTGGATTGCTTGCAAAACTTATTTATTTGCAGATCCTTAGGAGCTTCCCCCTGGTGCAAGGGAGGTGATTTTATGGATGCTAATCTCTTTGTATGTTCTCACTGAGAAGACCAAACCACTCAATTTTGGGGAGGTTACCAGGACGGGATTTCTCCCAGTCTCTTCATCCTTCTACATAAGTCCGACTTTGAGGACTGGGTTCTCAGCACTACTAATCTTACTTGGGTCCTTCCTACAGCTTCTTTGACAGTGTCTTCTGTACCTGTTCTTGGAATAGTTAACCCATTGATTTTTGCTTCTAGTTTTGTCCCTAAAGGAAGTCATATTTTTTCTAAGGAAAGGGAATGGAATGCAGAGGAATAATTTAATGTTTTAAGATTGATCATACATTCATTGATGTTTAGATGTTTTCAGGTTATGGAATACAAGTGATAAGAGAAATTGGTCCTTTTTTATTTTCATTCAAGAGCAGTAGGGTAAGATTCTCAGGTGTCAAAAAATATGTCAAAATATCATATTTCACTTACTTTGTTTCACTTTTATTTCCAACAAAAAGTCAGAAATAACATTTTTTAAGATGAAAATAGGTTTTTCTTAATTAATGCTCTTGTAAAATTAATACTCTGTAAAAATTTAGGAAATGTAGAAAAGTATACAAAAAATAAAAATTGTCCAGATGTCAACCACTCAAAGATAGTGACTGTTACTTTTCCTATATGTATTTATATTCTTTATAATGTGAACTATATCTTAATTAGAAACAATAGGAGAAATACGTGGAAACTTATTCTACTTAGCCCTGTTAAAAAGCCCTGGGTCAGCTAAATAAGCATGTTGTTTTATAGTGTGGAACTCCTAAATAAATCAAGTTTTGATTTTAGCAGTCATCTCTGCTTGAAGAACGAACCTTCTGACTGGGATAGTAGAATCGTTTAATAAATTGTCCTGGGTCCAGATTGTTATTCTGCTTTCTGAGTGGCCAGAGGAAACCTGCATCTTCCTGGGTGCTTTTGCTGCTCAGGGCTGCTCAAAGATCTCATGGGGCAGGAAGTATAAGGATTGTATCTTTGCCTTTTGCTCTCTTTCATCTGCTTACACACAGACAATGCAAGAAAAGACTTTGCTGTATAGTTTATATTTTTTACACTGTTTTATTGAGCCTAATTATAATACTGTTCTACTTGAATACTAACATAGCAATAACATTTATACTTTAATGCTTAACATTAAATATTTTATAGAAACAGCTTAACTTTATTAAACTATTTTCAGAAAGTACAATTAGCATCGTATATTGAATATATTTTAATATAGTAGTCCCTTCACAGCAAAGACAACTGTGTTCTTATGAGTTTGCAGTGACATTAACTTTCTCTTTTAATCTTCTCTCCCCACTGTACTCTTATGTGACTTTTATCTCTCTATTTTCTTTCTCTTTCCCCTTTAGTTACTGGTCTTGAGAGATGGGTGAGTTTTCTTCTTTGAGATGATGGGGCAGGTATTGTCTTGGGAAGCTAACTGGGTTTTACTCCTCTCCCTTGCCCACCCCAAAGAAATGAATGTTCCGTTATTCTGCCCCGTTTTTCCCTTCTGCTTACATGATTCACATGATGTTAAGAGATGGTGTCTTCATAGATTTATTGTTCATTACTGTTTAAGAAGATGACTCTAGAATGATATATTTTACTCACCAATGTTTTATGGACTGAATGGGAAATGTGATGCAAACAACAAATTTTTCCAAGAGTAAATATTATTAAATATCTCATTATAAAATCTAAACTTATACTCTGTTTTTTTAAACTGGATTGTT